ATGAAGAGGGACAACACTTCAGGGGCAGAAAAGAAAATCTTCCAGACCCTAAATATTTTTTTTAATTTTTTTTTAATGTTTATTTATTTCTAGGAGAGAGAGAGAGAGAGAGAGACAGCATGAGCAGGGGAGGGTCAGAGAGAGAGGGAGTGACAGACTCTGAAACAGACTCCAGGCTCTGAACAGGCAGTCAGCACAGAACCAGAAACGAGGCTAGAACCCACGAACAGAGAGATCATGACCTAAGCGAAAGTCGGACGCTTAACCGACTAAGCCACCCAGGCGCCCCCAGACCCTAAATATTTAAGATGAGGAGTTCCAATTAATTACCCCTCCTCCCTCCAGTTTCTAACTCACAGAGCATGGCTAATAAGAACAACAATAGTTCAGCATTTCTACATGTCACCATTGTTCCAAGCACTGCCCCCATTCCAATATTCACAACAGTTTTTGTGACAAGAGGCACTATTGAGCCCATTTCACAGATGAGAAAACAGACATAGGGTAAACAGCTTGCCCAATATGAGCTACAGATGCTGGGGAGAAGCTGTAGACAGGGTTAGGGTGAAAGAAGATTTTACAGAAAGTTAAGTTCAGCTAAAGAAGTGGACAAAGTCCAGGGGGAAGCCTGCCTATCCATGTATATTGGACGCCAACAGATGCCGGACTTCACATAGAGACTTGATGAGAGAGGAGTCTAAAATCATGCACAGGGGCCATATTGAAGAGTCCTGAACACTGCTGTTCGGAGTTTGAACCTAATCTGGAAGGGGGGAAGGAAAAAGAAAATGACATAATCAGAACCATATCTTGAGATGATTAACTTTTGAAAATGAACAAACTAGAGAGAGGCTGGAGTGAAAGGGATTATGTTCGGGTCCTTTTGGTCCAGGTTATATGACAGATAATGAGTGTCTGAGCAAGGAGGTTTCCATTGAAGGTTAAAGAAGGAGGTGAGTTTGATCTATGTTGCAAAAGTCAAATGCAAAGTTTTGGTAACTGGGTGGATAAAGAGAGCGAGAAAGGGGAGAGAATAGAATCCAAGGTTTCAAGTTCAAGTCACTGAACTATTGTCAGAAACTCAGAAGAGGCACTTTGTGGGGCGAGAGGAACAGCATGAGAAGCTGGACTCTGAAAACAAACCATTTGTTGTCAGTGAGCAGGCCATCGAGGTGGGAGAGCTCAGCAGCTCTCAAGTATCATACTCAGCAAGTATGTATCAACTTGGAAACATACTTGAAATTTAGAATCTGAGTTTGAAATGAAGCTTTTGTTGTCATCTGCACAAAGGTGCTATGGTAAACCTGGGGAATGGATGAAATCTCCGGAGGTGGGAAAAGGGAGCAAATAGAGAACAGACCCTTCCTTGGAAAATACTTAAATCTGAGGGCAAGGAGGAAGAGGAACCAGCAAAGGAGAGTGGTAACAGAAGAGTGGAAACTTCTAGAAGTATGCATCACAAGACACATGGGAATGGAAGGTTCCAGAAAAAAAGCTGACTTAGCAAACTCTCAGATGAACCAAGAAAAATTAAGCCATGTGGGTTGCTTGAAAGGTTCTAAGAATCAAGAGTAGCTATAGGATGGGAGGTGGCCTCAGGCGGGAAGGAGGGAGTAGACAAAAAGAGGCAGAGGCAGCCGAGCTGGGCAACCTTGCAGAGTTTAAGCAAGAGGAAGAAAAGAAAGACAGTGGCCCGAAGGGATAAGACATGTGCAGGGAAAGTGCTTTGTTTCCTTATTAAGGTAAAGGGCACCAGTTAGACCTATTTTAGAGATTAATGGGCCACAGAGAAGGGTCTGTGAGGGTGCATTGGTACTACCAGTAGTAAAGCAAAAATAAGTAGGTAGCAAAAATACTTTCCACGGCAGAAATTGTATCAGGATGAGGTCCTGAAACTGTTTCAAACCTTATCATAAAGCAAACCAGAACTCATGGAGCTGCCGTCCCTAACTCCCACACAACAGTTCTCGGAGAAAACAAGACAAGGGCCAATTAAACAGGTATTTCTTCCTCTCCGGGAGAAATGCATGGATTTAATGTAGGCATCCCAGGGCGAAGGGGGAGAAGTAGCCGTCACTCTAGGCAACCTTAAAAAGTAAAATAACTTCCATCGAGTATAGGAAGAAGAAATCTTGCTAATGAATTTGGGCTATAAAATATTAGGGTTTTCTTTTCATAAGTACTATTAGCAAATTGCATGACTTGTAAATATTCTATGTGCAGGAGAAGGGAGGGCATTTTTACCCTATGTTTTGAAAAAGAAATAGTTAAACGCACTCAGGTCTGAATGTTACTTCATTCACTGTAATGAGGCAAAAGCTTCCTGGGGGCAAAAAAGTAGAAAAGCAAAAAGACTGATAGTGGTTACTGAGTAATTGGGGGCCTTAGACTGCTGGAGGCAGGTCTAAATAGGACAGTGCTGTAGAACATTCAGCAAACAGCCTGCTCCACTGTTCTGTCCATTCCTATCAAGAGGACGGAGGGGTATGGCACCAGACATAGGATGTCAGAAAGGAAAAGAGGAAATGGAGAAGGGAATAAAGAGATAGACTCAGTGTTCTAGGGCATGTGCACACCCTCCCTCTTCTGCGGGATGGCCGGGGCACCCTGTGTGTCCCTGTGTGTTCAGAAATGGTCCCTGGGGCCCCATCGCTGTCACATTGCTGCACAACCCTCGGGCATGGAGAAAAGCATCGGAGGTTGTTAGCACATCTCCGTCTGGAGTTGAAACTGGGATCAGCACCAACAAGAGAATACCAGAGGGGATTTGTCTCTTCTCCGTGCTTGGATAATGGCTATTCCCTGAGACCCAGGGAAGAATTAAGTCCAACGTGTGCCTCGCACTATATCACACACTCAATCCTGAACAGCTGGGCTGCTAGTACAATTTAAAAAGAAGAGAGAACTGGCTGCTCACCATAAAGTATTCATAATAAATCTCTCAATGAGGAGGTATAAAGATTTCCTGTTGCCGTCAAGCCAAAGGAACAGAGCATTAGGCAAGTATCCAGTGAGTCTCATTAACAGAAACAACCAATACGGAAAATCCAGGGGGACTTGCTCCACATTTCTGTTAGTAATGCAATTTTTTTTACCTGAAATATGCTAGTAATTTTCTCGCTTGTAAAACTGACTTTGCCTCAGGATTAATAAATATTCTTATTCTTAATAGTTACTGAATATCCTCCATGTTCAAGAGACTGTCCAACAAATAAAACATCCCTTGTCACCTTTTTCCCCTTTTTGCTTTATTTCTGAGAAGATAAAGCAGTAAAGTCATTCCAGACTTATTTTAAAAGAAAATGGAAATAATATGTATTTAAAATGTAGTCAAAGGAATAATTGATAATAATGAGCTCTATGAATTAAAAATTTTGATTCTAGGGGCACCTGGGTGGCTCAGTTGGTTAAGTGTCCGACTTCAGCTCAGGTCATGATCTCGCAGTTTGTTGGTTCAAGCCCCTCATCAGGCTCTGGGCTCTGTGCTGACAGCTCAGAGCCTGGAACCTGCTTCAGATTCTGTGTCTCCTTCGCTCATGTCCTCTCTCTCTCTCAAAGATAAATAAAACATTAAACAAAATAATTTATATAAAAATAAAAATAAAAAAATAAAAATTTTGATTCTAGGGGCACCGGGGTGGCTCAGTCAGATAAGTATCTGACTCTTGGTGTTAGCTCAGGTCATGATCTCATAGTTTGTGAGATCGAGCACTGAGTCAGGCTCTGCACTGACAACACGGAGCCTGCTTGGGATTCTCTCTCTCCCCCTCTCTTTCTGCCCCTCTCCTGCTCACACTCTCTCTCCCAAAATAAATAAATAAACTTAAAAAATTATCAATCAATCAATAAATGAATGAATAGTTTTGATTTTAAAATGGGTGGTAGTGGTTAAGAACAAAGTACGTAAGGCCCGAACAAGGACATTATCCTCCCAGATTTTGTTTGCAAAGTGCAGTCACCTATGTGGAGTCCCCAGTGTCAGAGCCAGTCACAGAGCCATCTAGCTGCTAGTAGATAGGAACCAATGACAAATGGAAAGACATTTGTTAGAGATAATTTTCACACACACACACGCGCGCGCATGCGCGCGCGCCTGCGATAATTTTCATTGTCAAGTTACTCCTGAAATATGTCCTTACCAGAGTTAGAACCATGTCTGTCATAGTCACTTAGACTTTATAACAATAAGATCATCTCAGCGTCTATGAGGATAACTACCCCCTTTCTTTAAGGCAGAGGAATGGAACATACATTTGATCATTAAATAGCAGATTTGGCTTTTTAAAAAGAGGGCTGTGTTGAGTAACCGTGTTGAGCTCTCAAAAACGATGATCTAGATTTGTCAAGAAGTCATTCCCACTGACTCAGGTTTTTACCATAGTAAAATAGTATGTAAAATAACATAAAAAATAGTATACGTAATAGCAATCGTTTTCTTTAAAATTCTGCCAGTCCTAGAATTTAAATGCCTGTCCCAGAATTATCGAGAATGACCTAGGGTTTTCATCTTTGTGTCAGTGGCTGCATGAATAAAGCGGATAAGGCAGCATCAAGCCGCCTTCTGTAAGAGACACTTCAGCAACCTCCAGTTTGCTTATTATGCATATTCGTTAGCAAACATCTTTGTTTTCCAAACATTAACTTATTTCCTCAGAATAGCTTTCCTGAAATGAAATTACTGGATCGAGTGGTATGAATATTTTAACGCTCCTCTTTCCCAACGTGTTCCTAAGCAGCTCTCCAAACGAGCATTTACTAATTTACCTTCCACGAGTAATATAGGAGAATGGCAGCTATACTCCAGGGTTACCAAGCCGCTAATAAGGCTACCTTACTTTTATTTGTGCTTATTTCTGTCCTAGCAAGCTTGAAAAGTTTTGCAGGTATTCATTTACATTGTTTGTGTGTTTTTGTTAGTTTCGTGCTGTTTCCTTATCAGCTGGCTTATTTTTCCCAGCTCCAGTCTCAACTGCTTCCCTCCCCTCTGTTGCCTTGCTCAGGCTCCCATGATTCATTCAGCTACTGGGTAGACGAAAAGTCCCCAGTGGGGCCGGACCAAACCCCAGCCATCAAACGCCTCGCCAGGATCTCCTTGGTGAAGAAGCTAATGAAGAAATGGTCCGTGACGCAGAACCTGACGTTCCGAGAACAGCTGGAAGCTGGGATCCGCTACTTCGACCTGCGTGTGTCTTCCAAACCCGGGGATGCCGACCAGGAGATCTACTTCATTCACGGACTTTTTGGCATCAAGGTCTGGGATGGCCTGATGGAGATGGACTCGTTTCTTACACAGCACCCCCAGGAGGTTGTCTTCCTGGATTTCAACCACTTCTACGCCATGGATGAGGCCCACCACAAACGCCTAATTCTCCGGATCCAGGAGGCCTTTGGAAACAAGCTGTGCTCGGCCTGCGGTGTGGAGAGCATGACTCTGCAGGCCCTATGGGAGAAGAAGTGCCAGGTGAGAGGAAACAGGGCGAGAACGCAACTCTTTCTGCTTTCCCTTCCTTCCTTCCTTCCTTCCTTCCTTCCTTCCTTCCTTCCTTCCTTCCTTCCTTCCTTCCTTCCTTCCTTCGTTTATTTATCTACCTTGAGAGAGAGAATGCCCAAGCAGGGGAGGGGCAGAGAGAGAGGGAGAGAGAATCCCAAGCACTGACAGCATTGAGCCAACCTGGGGACTTGAAATCACAAACCGCAAGGTCATGACCGGAGCCAAAATCAAGAGTCAGACGCTTCCCCGACTGAGCCACCCAGGAGCCCCTCTTCCTCCCTTTTCTATATCACCAGTGGGAAGGCAGCTCACCCCAGAGCTCTTAGGCTAGAGGGCAAAGATGGGTTGGAGTATTAAACATACACACATTGGTTTTTGGGCTCTAGTATCGCTTTAGAGACTCTAGGCTACATGTACTAGTTCCTTGGCACTGGCGAACTGGGATTAACACCTGCCAAGTATTTACAATTTGCTCAGCAGTCTGTTGGAAGCGTCTAGGTTGACTTTGAATGGCCTGGCCAAAACCCAGCCCACGCCAGTGTGGTGAAATTGGACCAGTTGGTGATTACCACTTTCTTTATCGCCCATAGAATCCCGATTTCAGGCTCCTACTTCCCCTCAGGGATAGGCCAGTCCATTCTGCTTCTAACTCAATGTCAGGTAATCCCTGCATTAGCTGACAAAGCATGTAAGTGATTCCTCTCAGAGGTGTTAACATTTTAAAAGGCTGTCTTCACAGATTTGGGGTCATGGCTGGAGAGAGTTAAGGAAGGAAGAGCCCAACAAAGGGATTCAAGCTGGAGAGAATTCCCAGGTCTCTTAAGCTTAGTAGAGCCTCCAAACCTAGGCCTTGAGGAACGTCAGGAAAAGGAATGTGGGTCTCAGGTATATGCTGCTCCGATCCCACAGGATGACAGATTATGGGAGAGGGGAGCTTCAGGAAATGTCAGCCTCTAATGTAGACTGTCTTTATTTTTTTCTTATGTTTATTTATTTTTGAGAGTGAGACAGAGTGTATGCAGAGGAGGAGGGGCAAAGAGAGAGGGAGACACAGAATCCGAAGCAGGCTCCAGGCTCTGAGCTGTCAGCACAGAGCCCAACGCCGGGTTTGAACCCACGAAGCATGAGATCATGACCTGAGCCTAAGTCAGACACTTAACTGACTGAGCCACCCAGGTGCCCCTAGACTGTCTTTAAAAAAAGCAAAAAAGCAAGACCCTTTCATTCATAGCTGCTCACTTAGTCATACACATACATTAACCAAAGCGTCTTAAAGAGTCAGCTATTTTTGAACTTGGGAAAGAGCTTTTAATTAAAAATCAATTAAAGATTTTCACTTGCAAATATTTATGGAACATCAAGTCTGTGCGAAGCACCAGTCTAAGCACTTGGGATACGTTAATAAATAAAACAAAGATATTTGCCGTCATGGGGCTTTCATTCAGGTGCAAGGAAATAGGTCATAGATCATCGTCATAACAAAAACATCACATAAAATGCTAGAAAGGGATACAAGCAATGAAAACAGAAAGGCAAGTGTGGGTAAGAGAAAACAGCGTTCTGTGGGTTGGAGGATTGGTCTCTGGAGGGTTGGTCTCAATTGTAAATCGGTCGATCAGAGTAGATATTCGAGGGAGTTAATGATGTGGACATTGGGGCAAGAGCTTTCTCAACAGAGGAACCAGCCAGTGCCTGATGTCTTTGAGGAGAAGCAGCAGCCATGGGGGCTGAAGAGCAGAGCAGTGGAAGATCAGAGATAGAGGGCGATTGGGTAGGGACTCAGGCTTTCACTCTGAGGGAGGAAGGTTGTGGGAGGGTTCTGAGCACGGGGTGCCGTGTCCTGGATGACACGTTAATAGGGTCTCTGCGGCTATTAGGAAGAAACCAGGACCCAGTGAGGAGAGCATTGGTAGGAAGTGGTCAGGTTTGGAATGTATCAGAAGGTGGAGCCAATACGGTTTCCTAATGGATGGGATTCAGGGTGCAGAAGAAACAGGCCTCGAGGATGCCTCCCAGGTTTGGCCTCAGTAATTGGAAATGGTAGGTGGTTTTGCACACCTATAACAGGGCTAAATAAATGTCTTTGACTCCACAGAGGCTCACGAGTTAACTCTTAGTATCAATTAAAATATATCTAAGTCACTTTTCCTCACTGAAGCTTTGTAAGTGATATTTTGCCAAATATTTATCACGCCTCTGCCCCTAAACCCACGTTGATATCTTTTCAGACTCACAGGCCTAATTTGGAGAGATGGGTTCTCTCAGTGGAGTCTCTTACGATATGAAATAATAGTAATGATAATGTCACCTTAACAGCTAACGCTTATTGAGTCTTTTTACTCTGCGTTTGGTACATGGATTGGCACATTTAATCCTCTCTACAACACTATGAGAGAGGTGTTTGTTATTATCCTCATTTTACAGATGAGTAAGCTGGGGCATGGAGAGACTAAGCGACTTGCCGGAGTGAACATTGCTCATGAGTGGCAAAAGCCAGCAGTGGGTCACAGCCTGCCTGGCTCCCCAGAGCTCCCCAGCAGCTGCTGATGCTGTCCCAGGGCTGTTCCCTCATCTTGGTGGTTTTCACAACTAATATCATAGGTTATGCTAATAAAAACATGTCCTCCTTATGCATGAGCTTCTCGTATCAGACAGTCACAGAGAGTTGGCAGAATGGAAGAAAGGGCTAGAGATCTGCAAGAGAACAAATCTGAGTACAACTAAGTTTGATCATCAGATGGCTGTCATAAACATAGAGTTAATACTTTGTGCACAGGTAGTATCCCGGAAGGAATCCCACACTGCATACCAAATTGTTTGGGAGAGTAACAGGTATCTTCAGGAATAGTGGCGGGAGCTGACAGTGAATTTCTAGCAGCAGGGGGCTGGACTAGCCTCATTTTCAAGTATGGGCCAATCTGTGTCTTCCAACTACAACTACTCCTAAAATTATGAAGGGAAGAGACTGCGATGCCATACGGGAAAAAGGGAGCCTGTCATCCATTTGAATTGGAAGATCTGCCTCTTCTTCCTTTCCTGAAGCTTTCCCTGCTGTGTCCCTTCTTAAACACTAAACAGAGACCTCACAGTCATCAATCACCCTACCCTGTGCTGGTGGTTAAACTTGAAATATTCCTTATGTAATGAGCTGCCTGGCATGCAACCCCCTGAGTATTTTATCACTACAATTTAATAGCAGGAAGTGTACTACCATTCAGTCAAATTTCATTTACCCAACAATTACATCCCAGCTCACGGAAACATGTGCATTGCAGCTCTGGGTTTTGAGGTACGGTGAATTCGAAGATTTATTCTACGATTTGGCAGTATTTAGAATCTTAGTGAGAGGGTGGGAGTACATAACACTCCTAAGATACAAAACGTCCGATATACAATTGCCAAGATCAGACTGCCTCAAATGTACTCTATGAAGAAAGGGGTTTGGAATCCATCAACTGAAAAATAGTACACAGCCTAAATTTACAGCCCAGGGGCCTCCAGGAAAGGACCCATCAGAATAAGAGGAGGTCAATCAAGGAATAAGTCTCAAAAGAAATTCGATTTCAAATCTGAGTCTCCAGAGAAACACTGAACATAAATTGCTGAGCTGGAAGGGAAAGAAAAATACAGCAGAGCAAGGGAGGGAAGCAGATGTGAAACAGGCCCTGGGGTAAGAGTTACTGCCCTAGAATTCCATAGAATAAGGTTAGTTTGCTAGGCCAGCCTCCTGCTGTCAGCAGAAATTCTCCCTGTAACTCTTATAAGGGGTCAGATTGCTCAGGAAAAGGAAAAGGCATAAAGCCCCTTTTGTACAATTTGTACTCTTGGTACCTTTCGTGAGGCAGAGTAAAGAATAGCACCACCCTCTCATCCGCTGAAACTGCTCGGGGTCCAGGCGGCTCTGAAGATGGCCAGCCAGGGAAGGATCGCACAGCCTCCCACCTCTCCCACAGTCCGTCTGGAAGGCCAGCTTCCTCCCCCTCCCCATGCTGGAGACCCCAGCCTTCCAGCCGGCCAATCACACCGCCAGCAGGAAATCCTCCCAATCTCCCAGGCAATCTGCTTACTATGAGCCTGTGATTAACCTCATTAACACACGTGTTTACCACAGGCATCATTAGCAGTCAGTCAGACATTACTCAACACCATTAAAAACAACAAGAACAACTATTAGCCTGTTGGGTGCATCCAGCCTGCCATGCCCTTGCTCTGGGCCCGCAGGAGCAGTTAGTCAGGCACCTTAGTCAAGAGCTAAACACACTGGAAATGAGACACACCTTCAGAGCCTTCCTTCCTGGGTGCCTGGGGGATTACGTCTAGCTAGCTGAGGATCGCGGTCCAGGGAGAGTAAACACGCTGGACATTCCTCCAGGATTACTGGTGCCTGGGAGCCTGGAAAAATCTATTACTTCTAGAAACCTAAGCAGCAGAGCTCTGAATTGGGACAATCAAAATAGCAATTCCCCATCCCTCGGCTGCCTCCCAGAAACTAATTACTGCTGTGCATGTGGCTCGCTAATTATTTTCAGAATCACTACGAGCCCCGAGAGGCCCCACTGGAGACCCATCGCCTCCTGGAAGCCATCCCTGCCTGGAGTAGCGGCCTCGCACGCCCTCCTGGGAAGGGTTATTTCATTCAGTCGGCTCACACTATTGAAACCCTAGGTACTCCCAGATTAGTCCAGTGTGTTGATAGCAACCCCAGGAGTGTCAGTTTCACGAGCGTAGGAGTCATAACTGGTAGACCGCGCCAGCCACCGGGCTCCCCATCCGGGGGGTTCGGAGCTCCAAGGGGAGGGCATCGGTAGAATTTAAGTAGCCTGTGAATTTGCATGGGAAAAATCTACGTATTTATTCACTCTCAACTTTAGCTGAAAATTAATATACTCACTGACTGTGAGCACAGGCAGTCAGGCACAGCACTGTCGGCCTTACCGGTGACTTGTCCCCACAGAAATCACAGATATTTCCGTATTACATTTCAGTTATTTGAAATATCATTTATACTCATCATTCACTCAAAATGATGGAACTTAGTAGACGTATAGCAAAATATTTTTATTTAATGTATTTCTTATGAAACATATACATTAATTTATTATAAATTTAATAATATATTAATAGCTATATTTCAGTCTTACTAATCTCCTTTGTGATCCTGGTGGTTTTATTTTATATGTTCACTTAAAACATAATCTGAGAAGAGGTTTGGGATTTTACCATACTCCCGGAGGTCTTTGTGACAAAAATAAAGCTAAGAATCTTCAAGTCATATACAAGTGCTTAAACCTTTGCTTACTGATTTTTCTAAATATATATATGCAGCATATATATATATATACATATATATATATTTAATCTCTATATCCTTGTATTCGTTTGTCTTTAATCCTCACAATCAGGGCAAAGGCAGGGAGTTAACATTCAGCTTGTTCGTAAATTGCTCTCCTTTTTCTGTTTTGAATGTTTCAGGTTCTTGTTTTCTATCACTGCCCCTTCTACAAGCAATACGCCTTCCTGTGGCCCGGAAAGAAGATCCCAGCGCCCTGGGCAAACACCACAAGTGTGCGCAAACTGATTCTCTTCCTGGAGACCACACTGAGTGAGCGGGCCCCACGAGGCTCCTTCCACGTCTCTCAAGCGATTCTCACCCCCAGAGTGAAGACCATTGCCCGAGGCCTGGTCGGTGGCCTCAAGAACACTCTGGTTCACAGGTAGGCATTTGCTTCCTCTAACTTGAACACTGACGGGTAGAGCCTGCTTGGGATTCTCTGTCTCCCTCTCTCTCTGCCCCTCCCCTTCTCATTCTCTCTCTTTCTCTATCTCAAAATAAATAAACATTAAAAAAAAAAAAATTTGCTTCCACCCTACAAGTCAGGTTTAAAAAAAACAACAACTTGATTCTCTTTTGAATAAGCAGTAAAATCATATAGTTTGAACATTTAGAATAACGACAAAACAAAAACCCTTATATCTGAAAAACCTGTGCGTTTGAGGTGGTTTGCATTAACCGTGGCCAAAAGATCTCTAAACACTTAGTTAGAATATATAGGATACTGCAAATCCCCCTCTGAACTCTGATGCTAAGGCAAAGCACTTTAAACCACAGCTCTCTGTTCATTTCTGGCACGTGGCCACATCGTGAACTTGCCCCGCCCTTGCGGCTGGCCCAAGTACTCACTCATTTAGGAAGCATTAAGTGAGGCAGCTGTGCTAGGTGCTAGGCATCCAGAGACGACCTGCCACGGTTTGTCCCCTCCATAGTAACCATGAGTCCTAAGAAGCAGCTTTAGGATGCTACCTGCACACAGCTTGAGATACTTCCTCAGAGCAGAATTTATTCTCACTGTACAGTTAGGCAGGAGGTGCTCTGCATAGTTTGTATTAGGCAGTGTTCTTATCCTGAACACCATAAATGATAGGTGTTATCAAGAAAAAGCATGGCCTGTACACACACACACACACACGCACACACCTGTATGTGTGTGTGTGCCTATGGATATGGATAGGGATACAGGGAATGTACACTTGGATAACAGGGTAACTGTATTGTCCAAGCTGAGGAAACTAACATGTTGGGGGTGACAAAGGATATTTACAAGACTCACTTTGGTTCCAGAGTTCCAAGTGGTAAGCACCAGCGTTTAGAGAGAGAAAGATTCTTGCAAAACTGTGTCCCTGGCTGTTTGGTTCTGAGTTTGGATAGCATCATTCTAGAGAACGGGAGCTTACCTGGCCTGCTTACCTGGCCTGCTTCAGGTAGCAGGGAGCACCTGCACTTTTGTTTCCTGGTGAAAACTCCTGTGTTGGCTTATGTTGGCCATGAACAAAACCAGAAACCTGCCCTTTGTGACTGTTAAGTTTTGACTGAATTACTTGTGCTGAACTTGGACTGTATTTGGAGAGCCTTTAAAGAGGTGATTAAGTTAAAATGAGGCAGTCAGAGAGGACCCTAACCCAGTCTGACTGGTGTCCTTATAAGAAGAGGGAATTTGAACAGAGACTCTGGGGAAGGGTGTACACAGAGCAAAGCTGGTGTGAGGACGCAGAAAGAAGGTGGCCGCCTGTAAGCCAAGGAGAGAAGACTCAAACCAAACCTGTCAACTTCTCAGAGTCAGACTCCAGCCCCAGAACTGTGAGAACATACATTTTAGTTGTGTAAGCCACCCAGTCAGGCATTATCTATGGCAGCCTCAGCAAACTAATGTAGTCTCTTAAAGGCCGCCTTGGACAAGTTTCCTGAGGTCCCTGAGCTGTTCGGTTCTCACCTCTTGAAGAGGAGAAATAACACTGCACAAACCTGTAGAGTCTTAACATGAACATGCCTACCACAGTGCCTGGCACAAAGTAGGCATGCCAACTCTGTCTGTAGAGAAACCCAGAAACACAGAGGGCCAGCCTTGTTCTCAGTGGGCTTCAAAGACAAAGGGAAGTTTCTAAGCAACTGCTCTGCTCATGGAGCCTGGTGCTTCACAGGCCTACCAGCAGCATCCGGCTCCCCCTTCTGCACTGATCTCCCCTTGGTAAAGACCAGGAGTTAAGAAAATAAAGCAGCTTCTCCTCAGTGAGTTCTACATTTTCCTGTCGTTGTACTTAATCCTGGTTATTTGATCCTTCCCTTGAGGAAAGCTTGATACAGCTTGATAGGAGCAACCTGAAGCTGACCCAGAGCTCTTTGTCACCCAAGACCTCACATCTCCCACATTTCTCTGCTCACGCTCCAGGGATCCCCTGTGGTTTGGCTCTGGCTGGAGTCACCTGGAGTTGCCACCGAGCCCCTAATGCTCATTTCCCCCATGATGACCAGAAGATGGCGCCAGCATTACACACCCAAACACTGACTGGCCAATTATTATTTTTTAAAGTAAGCTCTACACCCAACGTGGGCTTGAACTCACCGAGATCAAGGGTTGCATGCTCTACCAACTGAGCCAGCCAGCTGCCCCTGACTAGTACATTTTAAAAAGAAGTCTTGAATGGATCAGGCTCAGGACGACAGTGGCCTTCCTGTGGGCCACTACGTATTACAAGTCTCTATCGCCAAGGGAAGACTGAATTTGTGGCACTTTGTTTTCGGCTTTCAAATATCTCTACCCTACACTTTACCATTTATGATTCCTTCTCTCATGGCCAATGCTTACATGGTGTTTACTATATTCCACGCATAGTTCCAAGCTCATCACATGTATTACCTTATTTGATTCTCCAAAAATCCGAATGAAGTTAGTAGTAGTATTATTCCCCCTTTCCAGGGGGATGGACTGAGACACGAAGAAACTGAATAGGTTGAAGTCAAGTTGAGGACATTAAGTCTTCAGGAGACCCAGTTAAAAATGTAATTACTCATGTGATGGTGGTTTCTTAAACCGTCATTAGCCTACTAATGTAAAAATGGAACTTGACTTATGAGATATGGTTTAGCCCATGGCCAGTTGTCAAGCCCACTGAATGCAGGAAGCAACGCAGGACTGATCATTGTGGTCAGGACAAGAGGCAAAGGGGAAAAGGAGGGCAGAATGGTACCGAGGCCTCGGTAGGGTTGTCTAGAAGACGGAGAGGTCAGGAAGGGCAGCTCTGAAAGAAAAAAGGAAAGGAGAAGGTGACAACCAAGGAGAGCATCACCACAAGAAGAGAAAGTCCATTAAGATAAACTTATTTTTAATTTTGGCCTAGAGCAAATCCTTCCAGAAATCCCCAGTCCCTTAACCAAAACATCAGCCATAGTTTTTGTCTTCCTCAAAGTCTTCTCAGCCTATCAGGTATTCCGTGAGCTATTTTTTACCATGATGCAAAACTATGAAGTTCTGCACTCTCCTCTGTACCGTCCGCAGTATTTCCATTTCCTGCTAAGACAGAAGGTATCACATTAAATTGTTGTCATTTGTTTATGTCACTAAATTGTGAGCTGCTTTGGGCAAAACATTCTGGCTATCACATAGAAAATCATCAAACTGTAAAATGTTGACTCACAGGCTGTTTGTGAGACCGCAGACTCAGCACCGGTCCATTAAGAAGCCACAGATACCAGGGCGCCTGAGGGGCTCAGTCGGTTATGCGTCCAACTTTGGCTCAGGTCATGGTCTCACCGTTCGTAGGTTCGAGCCCTGCATCAGGCTCTGTGCTGACAGCTAGCTCAGAGCCTGGAGACTGTTTCAGATTCTCTGCCCCTCCCCAACTTGTGCTCTGTCTCTCTCTGTATCTCAAAAGTAAATAAATGTAAAGAAGAGGAAGAAGCCACACATACTACTGGAGTAACTTATACCCACATGGGAATGTGACCCCTGACCCCCTCCTTCATACCATACATAAGAATTAGCTGGAGGTGGATCTTGGATCTAACAGGAAAGCTAAAACCATAAAGTTTATAGAGAAAGACAGGAAAATATTTTTGTGACTTGGAACTGAGCAAAAGTTTCCTAGATAGTTCACAGAAATTATAAAAGAAAAAAATTATAAGTTAGACTCCTTTAAAATTAAGGAATTCAGCTCACCAAAATATGCCATCGAGAAAATTAGTAGGCAAGCTATAGGCAAGGATAAAATATCAAAAAGTGTATCTGAGAAAATACTAGTATCTAGAATATATAAATAACTTCTAAAGTTCAACAATTAAAAGAAAAAAGAAAAAAAATAGGTAAAAGAATTGAACAAGAACTTCAAAAAGAAGACATATAAATGGCCAAGAAGCACATTACAAACTGCTCAGCCTTATTAGGCATCAGAAAAGAATGCAAATTGAAACACTAATATGTATCTTTACATACCCATTAGAATAGCTCAAATTAAAAAGACTAATCGTGCCAAAGGTTGGAGAGGCTCTGAAGCAACCAGAACTCTCATGCTTTGTTGATAGGAATATATAATAGAATGACCTCTTTGGGGAAAGATCTGGAAGTTTCTTATAAAACTAACTGTAAACCTACCGTATGACAAAGCAGTCTCAGGTGTTGGTACTTATCCAAAAGAAATGAAAAGAAATGTCCACAAAAAGACTTAGATAAGAATGTCCATAACAGTTTTATCCATAATTTCTAAAAATGAGTAACTTCCCATTTATTCATCAATAAGAAAATGGATAAACGAACTACAGTATATTCATGCAGTGGAATACTGCAGTGATTTTAAAAAGGAGAAGAGATGACTGATGTATATAGCAACACGGACAAATCCAAAACAAGAACGATTAGTCAAAGAACATCACACGATAGATAGAGTACAGAGTGCACGAACTTACAGGAAGTTCTAGAACAGGCGAATTTAATCAATGGTAGGAAAAAAGTTCTGATAATTGTTGCCTCTGGGAGAATGGAGACAGGGATTGATGCGAAAGGTACATGGGGGCTGGCAACATTCTGTACCTTGATATGGGGTATGTGTTATGTGTTTGTTTGTCACAACTCAACTAGTGTACACGTGAGGGTTGTGCATTTTATTGGATGCAGGCTTATGTCAAACAAGAGACAAATTAAAACAAATATTGAATCCTCCTTAATGATATGCATACCAAGGCACCGGAGCATGTCTATAGATGTGTGCAGTTGGAACTTGTCAAAAATATAAGGTGTTTTGAATGGAAAGATAGAGTGATGAGTCGATGGGCAGGCATGTGGCAAGTCCTGTAAGATGTTAGTGGTGGCAACTAGATGATGGATGCACTTACTACAAATTTCTCTCAGTGTTGCAAATTTTGTAAATTTTCATGATAAAAAAAAAAAAACAACTAAAGAACCTACCAAGAATTAAGCTCTTGATCTTAGTCTTTCAAGGTCCTACTGACATGGCTGTCTCTTTGGTGCTTGAGGCAAATAGTCTCCCCTTCCAGGGCAGAAACGCTGAAAGTACAGTTCTCTGTTGGAGTAGACATCACTCCATCCTTGAAAGAGACAGAAAGCTTGAATGGCTGAACTTCTGGGGACGTGTGCTTTTATTGACATACTTTTGTTACGTTAGTAGAAACGTCTTGTTTCTGTTTCTGGAAGAGTCCTTTTAAACTCTGCTCCCCGCTCTCTCTCCTATGCAGGAATCTTCCTGCCATCCTGGACTGGGTGAAAACCCAGAAGCCCGGAGCCATGGGTGTCAACATCATCACATCGGACTTCGTGGACCTGGTGGACTTTGCCACGACTGTCATTGAATTGAATGACCTCCTACAGGAGGACAGAGCTTTGGCTAAATGCTGATTTGACTTTTTTTTTTTTTTTTTAATTTAACTTAATGTTGGCTTTATTGATCCAGGCCAGAGTTCTGAAGGATTTCCTATTAGAATGGTCCCTGGACAGTGATGGGGAAGTAGGAGGAGGGAGGGTGTTTTCCCCTCTTCATAGGGCCATTTGGATAAAACTACAGAGATTTTAATTGCATTTTTCCCAAATGAGACTTTTAAAAAACTTAAGTCCAAGGGAAGAAGCATATCTCATGTGATCAAGGTCCGGGTCTCCCCAGTGGCTCATGATGTTGGATGTAATATGGAAGGAGAGCCTCCAGGTTCCATTGAGTGTCCTATAATTGGCCCAGTTTCCCGTTTTCTTCCAGGATGTTGTATTTGAGCCTGTGAAAAGATGAATCAGAAAAGCATCCTTAGTCAAAAGAATGGCTCATTGCAGGTGTGGATGGCCCTATGGGGTGGCTCAGCCTGAGGCTTTGAGGGGAAAAAGGGCCCAGCACCAACTCTCTCTGGCATGTTGAATGTCACCACTTCTTCCCTGAGAGAGTAAGACTTCTTTGCCACCAGGCTGTTCCAGCCACAATCTGTTCTTCCATAGCTTATGCTTGGGAACTGGTCACCTTGATTCTTTAGATAAACAATACATATTGCCTTTGGTATCAGAAATGTATTTTTCAGTTTTAAAAACATTGATTCCTTTCTATTTCTATTGGCCCCTTCTTAAAAGTGAAAGGAAAGAAACAATGTTGGAAGATCCTTTCAGTGTGGGCCCAAAAGGAGATAGACCTGCATGTTTGTTGCACGCCAGATTTCTTTGGTTTAATTCTGTAGCTTCTCCAAAATGGCTGCCAGGTAAACTCCTGCATCATTTTGGCAAAGTCCTCTTTGAAGAATGGGATCTCCAAGCCAGATCCTGGAATTGCATTTCCTTGTTGTCTGCCTAGGACTCCGTCTGTGCTTTGAGACACAACGATAACGGAAGGCACCTTGTCTGTGACACCGGGGAGGCAGACACAGGATGCGTGGGAAAGTGCAATGGATTTAAGGAGGAAGCCCCCAGTGGGTTGGGAGCTGTTCTGTACTCCTTGAAAACAAGACTACCTCGGGGACATTTAGGATGACTTGTGTGTCATCAAGTGAGAAATACCCAGTGTTGGAACATTTCCAATTTGTGTCTTGATTGTTCTACTTTCTGCAGGTTGTTCTGAGCCTGCTCATCACCACTGCATGTGGGCTTTGAAACTCAAGAAGGGATTTTTTTTAATGGATAAGAGGTACTTATCTATAAAGAGTCCTCTTGTGTTTTATTTATTTATTTATTTATTTATCCATTTATTTATTTATAGACTAAGTATCTTCAGTGCTTCTTACCTCAAGAGCACTCACAAAGGAGCTTCCCGAACTGTTTTCACCCAGGCCTGATGCCGCCCAGATCTTTCTCCCTTCAGTAGGAGCATGCATTTCAGCACTGTGAGCGACCCCTGATTCAGCTGCAGATATTCCCAGCTCTCCCAGTCATGTGGGACAGTGTTCATGCGTGGGTGTGGTCTAGACCTGAGAAGCCACTACCAGGCCACACACTGCGTCAGAAGATACAATGAGTCATGAAGAACTCTCAGTTCTTGAAGCAGACTCTCTAGTAGAAGGTTGAAAAGGAAGGAGCAGAAAGACTCCACTGGGCATGGAGTGTGTACGTGCTGAGGCTCCTCGGAACTGCCTGAGGATCCCTAAGGAAATGTCAGCATCTGGATTCTTAAGGAAGAAAGATAAACGTGGAATCCTGGATGGATGTGCGTGTGTGTGTGTGTGAAGACCGTTGGGCCACCCCGCCGGAGCTTTCCATTTCTACTCTTCCATGCTCACAGCTGGATCTCATATGTCTCCTGCAATGGCGGCTATCTGGGGGTGAGCTACCAAAAGCACACCCCCAAATCTCGGTCTTCCAGCCTCTACTGTCTGAAAAATAATTTAATCCCTGACCTCCAGATTCCGCAGCTTGAAGAGGGCCCCAAATGCAAATGCCTCTGGGAAAATCTGGTCTAACTCTTACTGTTCTTGCATTTGAGCCCCCTCTCCGAAGAGGTTTCTGGGATTGTATTGTCAAATTTCTTTATTAATGTTTTTTTTTTTTTTATTTCTAGGAGAGACAGAGAGAGAGACAGTGTGAGCAGGGGAGGGTCAGAGAGAGAGGGAGTCACAGACTGAAACAGGCTCCAGGCTCTGAGCTGGCAGTCAGCACAGAGCCCGACGCGGGGCCCGAACCCATGAACCGCGAGATCATGACCTAAGCGAAAGTCGGACGCTTAACCGACTAAGCCACCCAGGCGCCCCTGTATTGTCAAATTTCTGAGGGCCTTCGCGGGAAAGAAGTAAGAAAGGAAGTGCCCTCCCTTTCTCCATTTTTCTTCGATTCTAATATTAAACCCCAGTGACAAGCTCGGAAACCCCTGGCCTTCCCTCAGGGGTTGATTGGTGTGGTCATTGTTTCAGTTTGGTCTTCGTTTTAACTCTGGCTAGAGACTGGATCATTTCCCCTCTTCTAACCCTTTGTTACTTGGCAAAGAGATCAGGAGGCAAGAGGAGAATTCTTCTGCTCTGTTTTATTTGAGCCTCGGCTTTGTCCAGGTGCTTGGTGCTACGAGGCCAGGTGTGTTGGCAGGGTGTCCCACAGGAGGCCGGTGACACCCAAGGGCTGCTGACTGTTCAGTGAAATGTTTACTTGATTTTTTTTCTTTTTGTTTCAAAACATACAATTGCACTTCACTTGGCTTGTCGCACTGGTGTGCACCTCAGTGTTCGCGTGGTAAGAGGAGAATCATCAAGCGTGACACAGAAGCACAGAAAATGGTCCCAAGGTCATGTGTGTGGAGTCCTGCTCTATGTGGCAAGTGCAGGTGTTCACTCTTTCATACTTCTTTGGGTTGCCAGCCTGGCTTGCATTTTGAACTTCTACACAGGAGTTCTGGGAGCTAGGGATATTATCTGCACTTCACCTTTGAGAAACACCCTTAAATTGGCAGAATCCTGCCCCAGGAACAAGTTGTTCACCATATTGCAAAGGATGGATGCATTCTGCTCTTGGACGTGAGGCCAAGCAGGAGACTCAGTAATGGGACGGAGGGAGAAGAGATTCTCGTTCTATGACTCATTCTACAACTGCCAACAATAAAAATGGTTGATGTAACCACATCATTCATTATCACGAGATCAAACAAGCCTACCATACTTACTCAGAATTAACTTCAAGATCAACTAAAAACCTACTTGATTGAGCCAAAGAGTTTGGCTTTAGTTTCAGAGGATTGGGGGCCATAGTTATTCTGAAACAGGCTGAGTGTTTCATGAGCTCCCTGGACCATTTGCCACATTTCCATGGCTTTGTGGCAAAGGGGACAATCACAGGTTTCAGTTAGATTGGAGCAATGTTCAAGGGCTTGAACTTGGAGCCTGTTAGAGCTACCCCTGTGGTTTCATGGACAGAAAAGATATCATTAGGGTTGGAGAAAGAACTCAAGATGGAATTGATGGAAGGGAATGATAAGTTATTGAGGATTAAATTTTAAATTATTGACAGACCTAAGGGTGTCATGCCAAAAAGCGTATGATACATATGCTGTATTAGGCTCTCTAGTACTTAAGTGTAGTTATTTTCCTTAACACTGAGACCAGACCCCTGAATTCTTGAAAATAGTTAAGCCACAGTCCAAACCCAGGATTTTTATATAAACTCAAAAGCACAGGATGTGAGCCCAGGTCATGACCAATCTTAAGAATGCTGGCTCTCCTTTCATGACCTCATATTCACATCACAAAGGTTATATTTCTGTTCAAGAAGACAATGTAGCAGAGCGTTCTAGAATGAAATGAAGTTTTGTGGTGTGTCAGGTCTTTCTGTTTTTCTGACTCCTGCCATAAGCAAGTGCTCCCCGAAGAGACATTTATTACAACCAGGTGAGAAAGCGGAGCTCTAAGCTAAAGGTGGAGCAACAGAAGAAATTACGACTGAAATGAAACCATTTATTTTCTTTTTTTTTTTTTTATGTTTTATTTATTTCTAGGAGAGAGAGAGAGACAGCGTGAGCAGGGGAGGGTCAGAGAGAGAGGGAGTCACAGACTGAAACAAGCTCCAGGCTCCGAGCTGGCAGTCAGCACAGAGCCCGACGCGGGGCTCGAGCCCACAAACCGCCAGATTATGACCTAAGCGAAAGTCAGACACTTAACCGACTAAGCCACCCAGGCGCTCCAAAACCATTTATTTTCATGGAAGCAATAGGGCGACACAAATTCAGGCCGTCTTACAGAACAAGTTCATGCCCCAGTTGAAGTGTTTGGAATGTTCTTTAAGGCTGACTGCAGATTTTTACTGTGAGGTTCTGGGAAATGGAACAACCTAATGAGGGGGCCACAGCCATGAGACTTCTCTCTCGTGGCCAAGCAAGCCAGTGACCCTTTGCTAAATCCACCTTGGTTCCTTAATCTGGAATAGAGATGTCATCGGCTGCTTCACTGATGTTCTGCAAACCTTGGTCGACCAGCTCCCCAAAATGTCAGGTCCCTCATGGTTACATTAAATGCTTTATATCCAGGGGGCAGGGTGTGCAGTTATGGTAATTCTTCCTTGTGTGGCATGTGTAAAGAAAGGCTGTTTGGGTTCATTTCTCCAAAGTGTGGTCTAGGACAACAGATCTGGTGCAACATTGGCACTGTAGTGATCCATAGAGTGAGATGAATAGAGCTGAACGAGGTCTGCCGACACACTTGACTTCCGAAAAGGGGGGCTTTCCCAAATGCACACTAAACAGTCATGTTATGCCGAAAGGAAGTGAATAGAAATTGATAACATCAAATGTCCATACGAACAGGAACTTTGTTCTGTGTGGCATAGAACATGGTTGTCCCTCTCAATTCCACTAACTTTGCAGTAACTCCTCGGCCCTCCACCTCAGACTGCTTCCTGTTATTTGCGATCATGGCTTTGTCACCCACAAATGTTGTCTTGGGACACACAGGAGTGGACTGATTAGGTGATAAGTGATTTAGCTGGAAACTTCACCCTAACTCCAAATGGTAATGAACAGCTCTGTACTCTCCCAAGAGACTTACTATTTTCTTATCTTCTGGTACCCCAGCTTCCCATGAGAAATAGTGACACTAAAGGTACTATATTGCTGAACTGGCCTTTAACCGGGAAGAATACAGTACAAAATGCTAAGATGTTGTTGACATAGCACAGTCTTCAATGCTCAAAATATATTCTAAGATAACTCCTTCTATCCTGCAGTGGATATAGTGTTCTAGTCTTTTCTCCAACGAAACTTATTCTTAGTACTTTTCAAACTCCTTTCTAAGTCACACAGTTTGAATAAAATATTTTTCTTCTCTTTGCTGGGAATTCAATCCCATAATCTTGAGATAACCTCATCAATAGTCTACAGGTATTTTCCTCCTCATTCCTTCTGATCTGCACAGAATACCACTCTGTGTCTTGGCTCCTGGCCAATCTTGCTCATCTGCTGATTACTGTTAATAACAGAATACTGGTGAAACTCACACACATAGGCACACACATTCAGTGAGGCCCAAGCTCACTCTTATCACAGTGGTTATTATTGCTCCTTACTGGTCCCAAATGCGTAATTCTGCCCCTGACACACACACGTGCGTGCACACACACACACACACACACACACACACACAGAGTCTGATTGGGGCCCAGAAGTTGGGGCCAATACTTCATTCAAATAAGCAGGGGCTTGCTCACAAGCTTGGAGCCCAATGTGAAGCACAGCACTTTGAAGTCAAATAGGCCTTCCGTTGCTTTGTATATTTGCAATTTGACACATGTTGTTGCTTTATAGCACTAATAACACTTTGGTCATGAATCGATAGCATCAACATGATGAATCTTAGAACATATTCTAGACCCAGTGGTACCTTGCTGCTATGATACTTTCTAGATTGCACCCTCTGTTAATAAGCACCACACACAGAGTGTGTATGCAGTGTTCATACTGTGTATATGCCACCTGTCATACTCAACCTCACTGATCGGCAATTAGAAAATACAGATTGTCATGGTGAAAATAAGTCTTGGTCAATTCAGATATGATATGTGAATCTGATAAATACTCTCTCAGATATTATGTTTGTCCTCTACACTTGTTTTATATTACAGTGCATGCTGTTTGCTAAGTTAAGTAAAGAAATTAATAAAATAAGAATAGTAAATTGTACCAATTTTAAGGTTAGAGTTAAGTTTGGTACTTAACTTATATGCTGCTTGGTACTCTGGAATGTATTTTGTGGCTTAATTATCTTATTCACACACATTTCACTTGGCTTTTTCCCCTGTAGGAAATAATTGTTCAAATATATCTCTCCTTCTTTCTTGTAACCTGGATCATTCTGCTTAATTCAACCTGAAACATTGTAAAGCCAGATTACCTCATTTTAACTGTGAAAAAAAAATGTAATAGGTATGATGACATTATGTCTTTTCTTGTATTTATTTGAACTACCTAAATAGGCTTAAACCTAATAATAAATATCAAGCTTTAACAGGCACTTTTCCTTGTTTCTGTGTGTATTATTGGCCCACTTCTGGTCTTTTTTTAAAGGCTACAGACTCAGAGTCAATAAAATATCTGATTATATGACACTGGATGAAGACATACTGGAGTCAGCCAAACACGCCTGCGGTCCCCAAGATGAGCCATGCATGAAATGTGCACACAGCCTTGTCACCCGTCCATTTCCAAGCTTCACCTGAGCACTTCACTTATTCCTGCTAGGCATGGGCCAGGCCCCACACCCACCTTCTCACCCGACCACCATGGCCGGCCCGGGTCACTCTGAGTGATTGCCACACGCCGAGATGGAACAACGCAGAGATTATGTGTTTGTGCACACATGGAGCAAATAAAAGTGGGCGTCCAAGGGCAATATTTTCCTCATTCCTAATTCTTTTTAGTAGAATACCTGAGCCCACTTAATGTCAGTGATTTTCTCTTTTTGCCCTATGCCCTACAAAAATAATGGACTGAGCTGAAAGTCTTGTGTATGGATTTAGCAGATAGGAAATTAATTCTAAGTAATCACATATAGCAATCGAAGAACACCATCATAGATTTTTCACCTGTGTTTTTAGTTTGTGTTTAGTAAATCTGCCATACGGTCTCCTGGGGCCTTCATAAGCACACTGTCAGTCGTCTCCATTTGGTTTTAATTTTTAAAATGGCATGAAGAAGATAGGGCTGGGTCCAAAAACCTGCATGGTGTATTTGCAAAGACTCCAGGGCCTCAATTTCTGAATGTACACTTGGGTTGAGACATTGCCTCTATGAGAATGGAGCGGATATATTATGTACAAATTAATTGTTCATATTACAACTGGGTTATGAATATTCTATTGAGTACAGAAGCTAGGGCAACAGGCATTTCAGAGATGCACAGCCCTGTGTTTCTATCCTGGCTGTATCACATCCTGGTTGTATAACTTTAGACAAACGGAACATCTCTAAATATAGTATATTAGTCCTAGGATATAGTACTAATAACACCTGCTCTGACGGGTTATTGAGAAGTCTACATAAGAAACTATGCAGAAAACATTTCAGCAGAGAGCCTGGCACACAATAAATTCTCAAGAGTAGCTATTAGTCTTAGTATTGAGGGTGGCAACTTTGCACAGAGCACCCGAGTACCCGGCACAATCCCTTCCACATGAGTGACTACTAACTCTTGCGTTTATTGCTAAATGATTTAGCAGGAGATAATTAATAAGAAGAAAGCAGATAAAAGAGTGAAAGAGAAAGTTGCACAATCACTGGGCCAGCTATGCATTGCCCTGAGAGTGAGTAGTGTTCCCGCCCCTGGTGGTGTGCCAGATGGTGTGAGGGGGAAGATGGCCATATCATTGAATAACATTCATATCATCAATCACTTAATCATCCTGATCAGTAGAGAAGAAAGTCTCAACTTAGTGATGAAACCCCTCTAACCCTTGTTTTTCTGGCAAAAACAACCAAAAAAAAAAAAAAAAAAAAAAGCTAGTAGTATCCAGCTAACATTTAATATCATTTTGTGTGCATTGTATTTCTTTTATGGTTACCTTCTCTTTATGGCAAGTGATATTGGGTTTTTCAACAGTCATATAAAATTTCCTTAAGGTTTAAAAAAAAAAAATCCCACCGTGAAGCTATGGGAATGGCCTTTGTTTATGATCCTTTCCAGGCTGAAAACAACTGTAGTTGATTCCACTGCACACTCTTGTCAAGAATGGGGTTGGGCCATGCTCTTTTCAAACATCCTCCACTAAATAAGTATATAAACAGACTGCTATTTGGGCTAGAAAACCACCTCTTTTTTCATAAGGAGACTCTCTTCATGCCTTCTGCAGAAGTCCGTGCCCAGTGCATGCTCTGTCTCCGTGCTGTCCTGTGCGGCAGGAGAAAGGTGCCCGAGTCACTCAGTGCCAAAGATGGCCGCCCTGGAGATATGTGCAATGCAGAGAGCAGACCCTGATTCTTTGACTTGGAAAGTGAGTCCTCTTCTGTGAATCCCTGAGGTTAGGATGCTCTGGATTTTTGTTGTGGGGTTTTTTTCCTCCCAAAGGGATTCTTGACCAGCAGTATGTTTTTTTGTTTATCCCTCTGCAGATCTGCTCCCTGTGACTGAAGGATTGTTATTATTTTTAAGATTTGAAACCTTTCATTCTCGGAGAGGGTAGAAGGTCGCAAGGGAGGAACAGTGGCCAAAGCCCATGTGCCTCAAACCTCACTCTGGATGGCCTGGGCAAGTGCCAGTTAAACAAAAGTGCTAGTCAGACCAGGGTGTTTGCACAGCTGGGCAGTGTTTTGGGAAAGCATGGGTGGGGAAAGGAGACACAGAAGTGTCAGCCTCTGTCCAGTAGCATCATGCAACTGAGAGAAGCCTTAGGCAAGCAGATGGCTTTAATCTAAGGGGCCTGGTGTCTAAAGAATGGGATTTATCCTGTGGAGAAAGGCCCTAAGAAGCAGAGCACTCACTGCAAAAGAAGACCACTGAAAGCTATTCTTTGTTTAACCTCTCTGCTTTATGGCCTAAGGACTTTTCTGTCTTGATCCTTAATCGGTGTTTGCTCAATCTGGGCCCAGGAGTCTCATTTCTAGGCCTCCTTGAAATATGTAAAATGGATCTGGAGGAAGATATTAGATTGCCTTTTGCAAAAGCTGCTTCCTTCCCCAACAACCTTGCAGGTTTAGAACAAACCTGCCACACATCAGAGAGTTCAGTGGTCTACTTCACTGGGGCCAGAATGCCCTGACATGACATACAGAATTTTAGAACTAGGGCGCCTGGGTGGTTCAGTCAGTTGAGTGTCCTACTTTTGATTTCAGCTCAGGTCATGATCTCACAGTTGTGGGATTGGGCCCTGCATTGGGCTCCATGTTGGGCGTGGAGTCTGCTTGGGATTCTCTTTCTCTCTCTCTCTCTCTCTCCCACCCCAAGACCCCCTTCCACCTTTTCTCTCTCTCTCTCTCTCTGTCTCAAAAAAGTAAAAACTAATCTGGAACTATGAACTATGAGCACTACTTTCTAATAGAGAATCCATAGCTCTCATCAGACTCTCAAAGGAATATATGATTCTAAGAAATTTACACACCACTATCTTTCAAATATCTGTGAGAATAAACTATCATTTCAAGGTTGCTAAGCAAGCAAAGGTGGCTGACATGGGCTAGCTCTAGAAAGCCTTGATCTTTCCTATTTAAAAAATGAACTAAATTAAGACTCATATGAATTTTTGGATTATGGATGCCCTCTTTCAAGAGGTAAGGTTGGATAAAAGAAAATAAAAAGGAACAGACTAAGCAAGTCCAAAAGACCCTACAAAATGATATTCAGATGGGCTCTAGCAAGAGAGGACAGTGGAGATGGGGGAAACCAGGCACAGGAGCAGATATGGAGGGATGGCTGGGTGCCACATTTCAGAAGGAGGTGGACAATATAGAGCCTTTCCAGAGAAAGGCAGCTAGAAGGGTCAAGGGCCAGAAGTGATGTCACATGAGAAACTGGGGATGTTGTGTTTAGAAAAGACAGAAACGGGCGCTTGCGTGGCTCTAACTCTTGATATCAGCTCAGGTCATAAGCTCACAGCTTGAGAGTTCCAACCCCACGCTTGGGATTCGCTCTCTCTACCTCTCTGACCCTCCCTTGCTTTCTCTCATAATAAATAAACAAACTTAAAAAATAAATTAAATTAAAAAGACTGAGAAAAACATGATGGGGATATCTTCAAATAGTTTTAAATTGTTACATGACTGAGATATTAGATCTTATGAATTTAAATATTTTTAAAGTTCATTTACTTATTTTTGAGAGAGAGAGTGCACGCACAAGTGAGGGGGAACAGAGAGAAAAGAGGGAGACACAGGACCTGAAACAGACTCCAGGCTCCAAGCTGTCAGCACAGAGCCTGATGTGGGGCTCCAATCCACAAACCGGGAGATCATGATCTGAGCCAAAGTCAGACGCTTAACCAACTGAGCCACACAGGCACCCTACAGAATCTTATTGATTTAGATATAAAAAGGACCAAAGAACATTTGTCCAGGTGCTAATATTACAGAGAGAAAACTAATAGCCAGAGATAAATGACTGGTCTAAGGCGGAGCTGGGACTAGAACATGGTCTCGGAGTCTCCTCCCAGGGTACCCCATCATTTCCAACTGCCCCCTGAGTGCCTGGTGCACAGGGAAGGACTAGGATCCATGAGTGGCCATTTCAAGAAGGTAGAGAAGGGCTCAATAAAAAGCACTCTTATCTGAGATAATGAGCTCACCATCAGGCAGAATATTTCTGGGAGAGCAGTTTTCTATTGCTGTTATAATAAGTCACCACAAGTTTAGTGGCTTACAGCAACACAAATTTATTACCTTTCAAGTCTACAGTCAGTGGTCTAAAATGGGCCAGCAGGGTAGGGTTCTTTCTAGAGATTCTAGAGGAGAGCTCATTTTCTGGCCTTTTCAGCTTCTAGAAGCCACCTTCCTTGGCCAGTGGCCCCTTCCTGAATCTTCAATTTCTCTCTGACTCCACTACTGTCACCATGTCTCCTTTGATTCTAGCATCTTATGAGGGTTTTATCATCTTATGAGGACCCCTGTGATATCCTGGGCCCACATGGGTAATCCGAGTTAATCTCCCATCTCTAAATTCTTAACTTAATCCATCTACAAAGTCCCTTTTACCATGAAAGGTGACTTTTTCACAGATTCTCCCATCTCTAAATTCTTAACTTAATCCATCTACAAAGTCCCTTTTACCATGAAAGGTGACTTTTTCACAGATTCTAAGGATTCAGACATGGACATCTTTGGGACCTCTTCAGCCTACCACAGAATACTATGGAAAGAGCATGGACCTTGGTACTGGTTTTAGAACAGTGAGTTCGAATCCTGATTTAAGTACCTACTCATTGCCCTTTGAGCTTCTGTTCCCTCATTTATAAAATAGGAATAAAATTTCAAGGTTCAAGTAAGTGGCAGCTATATTTGTTCAAGAAATTTCCAGATGATTCTCACCAGACAGGAATTCAATGGAAGAAATTCTGTTAAATGAGAGATTCGCTAAAATGACTTTGAAATTCCATTCTGAGCTTGCTACAAGAAAAAGAAGTGAAATAAAAGGTATTTCTCCCATATATACCTGTCTACTTCACAGATCCCATTGAAAGGTCACTGCTTTTCTGGATAATCAATAGCAACGGATCTGCTTTCTACCCCCACAGTACTGCTATCTGATTCTGTCATCCAGATCTCTGGCCGGGCTTGAGGAGGACTGAGAGCCTGGACTGGTGTGTAATGATTGGCCGGACCAGGCAGCTGAAAGCAGCATAGGTTCCCTCCTTCACATCTGTCAACATACCTGGCTGCAAGCAAGTTGCAGCTCGTGACCACTGTACGCAGGGACCAGTGAAAGCAGAAAAGGAAGTGGAGAGGACACCTTGATTTTTGTGCTTGGGAAAAAGTGAAAGCCTGTGTTGATGCTTCTTGCCATCGTCCCAAACTCTTCGGTGAGGACTGAAACAGTCGTGGACCACCACTGCAGAGTCCGGAAGGAAGGTGAGAGAAGAATCCAGATTCTAAAGGCAGCAGTCAAGGTAGGTGATCTCTCCGGTCATGGGCCTTTCTTTCAAGGTCACAAAGCAAGCGTTTTGCCCAGCCTTGTACCCAGAGCGTCTCCGATGATGGTCTACTGAAAGAGATGTGTTAGTCATGTCGAGGGGATTCGATCATTTGTCCGCCAGCGTGTTCTGCAAAGTGGGCTGTATTTTCCTTCCATCTTCCCTTCCTTTTGAAAATTGTTGTTGTTCCTCTCCATATTTCAAAGGTCTGGAAAGTTTTCTATCTTTCGTCATAAAAATCGTATTTGTGATTTCTTGAAATTCTTCCATTAGTCATGACTCTTCAAACAAAGTTTTGTTCCAGATTTTGTTGGCACGAGTTCTTTCTGCTTTCAATATCTACCAGGACAGTTTGCATTATAATTCTGAGAAATACACTGTCTATGCAGAAAGCTTTCCAACTAGAATGATAGGATTTCCCAGGAAGCCGTGGGCATTATTCTGCTTTGGAACCTAAGGAGTTAAAAGTCTTCAAACTGCTGGAGCAGAATCAAGTCTATTTACCTAAGCTTATCACCCAGGGCAGCCAGGTCAATCATTTACTGACGAAAGGCTGTTTCTTAACTTTGACGGAAGACCACTAAAGCCCATGCCTGACTATCGCTATAGAAGAGACACTAGGCAATGTAGAAGATGCTGTTCTCTGCAGCGATAGCTGACCGGAGACATTTTAATCCTCCACAGAGTAGTAAATGCCACGGGGTCCTTCCTAGCTCAATAATAAATAAACACGAGCAAGACTCACACACAAACTGAATACCTGATGTCACCTCAGGCACAAGAGCTTGTGACATTGCAGAAGTTTCCCTTACTTCTGGAGGTCTATAGAGAAAAAAAAATTGGCTATAAAACAAGTTACTAAGTGATTCTTGAGGGGGAATAAGATTATTAAGTAATCACCAAAAACATTGGAATTTTTCTCCTTCAAGTCTACACATTCCAGAAAATGTTATTTGTAATAAACATTTAGATCCGAATACAACGCCTCTGGAAATGTTGTCATACCGTTTACCCATATATACTTGTCAGGTCTGTGCAATGGTTCCCAGCTCTTATAGTTTTAGAAGCCTGGTGATAGAGAAGCCTATTTTTCTGAACTCCCTTTAGGAAAGGCATTGGGCAGTTGATTCAACAAGGTAATGTTTGACACTACTTTTGTCAATCATTTATGGAACTGAAGTGAATCCCCTTTGGTGTGGTTTGTGGCTGGAATTTTTATGTGGCTCAGGCAGTTAACTAGATGCAGGAGTGTAGGCCACTGCAGAGAATGGCCCGGACACAAGTCCCATGTGTGATTTGGGGTGAGTCTGTGGCTAACTCCCAGGAATGTGGTGAAGAATTATGGTAACGGATACATTTCTGTGAAGATATTAACTCTGTAAAATGTTAAGTGTGCATCTGGCTGGTTTCCAGAGAATGTTTGTAGATAATGCATGTGATGGAGGTGGTTTGGAAGGGGGGAAAGTGTGTCAGAGCATTCCAATGCATTGGCCAGATTTACCCATAATCCCTTAGGCTGCCTTAGGAGCAGATAAGGCTTATCTATCCCTTCTCTGCAGCATCTGGAATAGGCCAAAACGCTGGTGGCCCTTGAGAATATATCCAGCTTTTCTTCCCATTTCATGCATATTGGATATTAGGTGGAGGGAAGATTATTCTCAGGATTGACTGAACTGGGTAGACAGTATTAGTCCTTTTACAAATTAGGAAATGAGAACTCAGAAGTTGACTCAATGTTTATTTATTTTTGAAAGAGGGGAGAAAGAGAGAGAGTGTGTGTGTGTGAATGAGCAGGATAGGGGCAGACAGAAAGGGGAACAGGATCCAAAGTGAGCAGTTAGCCCAACGTAGGGCTCCAACTGTGAGAGTCATGTGAGACACAAACTGCGATATCATGACTTGGGCTGAAGTCAGACGCTCATCCGACTGAGCCACCCAGGTGCCCTGAACCCAAAAGTTAATTAATCTGCCCAAGTTTACTCAGTCAGACGCGGAGTCAGGATTCCACCAACCCAGTGCTTTTCCAAAGCAGTCATGGAGTTAAGCACATGCAAGAACATAAATTGTGGGCATGTGGGTGTTGGGAGGGCAGTCACATAGGAAAGCCAGGTTGACTAACAAAGCCAGAGGTCTTCCATTGGCCCTCCGATGTGCCATGCCTGAGGTCAGCCGGGTACCACTCTCACCCAAACTCCAGCATGGACTAGACTAGACCTTCTGTGAGGGCAAGTAAAGGGAACAACAGGCTGGGAGCAGAGGGAAGTGTTCCCAGTCCCAGAAGTGACAGTCACTGGAGTCTTCCCAGTCCTGGATATGCCTGAAGTAAACCCAGGGAATGTTCAGGCTAGATCTCTGCCTCTTTCTATTCCAGGGACTCAAATTCATGAGCCCCAACTTAAGAACAACATTTGAACTATTTCTAGGGAAACAAATGACACCATTCCAATCCTTCTCTGGGAACGAAAAAAAAAAAAAAAGTAATTACAATTTCACTTCACCTTAGCTAATATCCACTCATCTAAATCCAAGGGGCTGGGGCAGAAACGGGCTTAAAGCAAGAGGAAGTTTCAACAGTCTATCATATCGAGGCTCCCAGTATCTGCAGCCCAAAGAGGCCCATGTCAGGTTGGGGCCCCAATGGCTTATGGGTGTCGTTCAAGCAGTGAATGAGTAAGGCACAGCAGCAAGGCTGCCTTTTCTCCAACCTCCATTCCGCTTTTGTTTGGATACATCCTAAAAATTCCATTAGCTGTCTGGCAGAGATTCCAAAGCAGCCACAATTCCTGAGCATTTACAAGATCAAGATAAAGAAAGGCCATCGTGAAATGTGGTTGGCTAAATATCTTCGAACAAAGAGTTCCTTCTTTTTCCAGACCTACCTCATGCATACCTAAGCGGGTGATAGCAAGCGCATTACAAACAGAGATCGCATTGCCAAGGCCATTGAGTACCCTTTTCTGATGCAGCTGACCCCGTAAGAATTGTACTCACATGGCATGCCTTCATTTAAGTGGAAGCTGAAATATAAGGCCTCATCACCACATTTCACCCTTAGCCAGGGCCTGTGACATCCAGGAAATGAACTACTGCTCTTTTATCTACATATCATAATCTAATCCTTATAAGAAATGTATGCAATTTGCTCAGCTCTCGTATATTGCACAGCTAGTAAGATGAGGTGAAGTTTGAGTTGGGGTCTGCCTGGCCAAAGCCCGTGTTCTTTGGCACTCTGTTTTGGGAAAAACACTCAATAGTATGTATACTTTTTGTATCTTAAGGGTAAAAAGTACAGAGTCCTTTCTAAATTGTTAGCTTGGATCCTCAGAGCACATATCTATGACTCCTTCAGCCAGGTATTTTTGATCGTATATAGTATAACACTCGACATCATAGTGGTCTTCCTCTCCTCCAGAAAGTAACAAGAAAACACACACACACACACACACACACACACACACACACACACACAATCGCCCTTAAGTCAGCATTTCTATCCCTTTCTGAAACTGTGAAAAAATAATGGCCCTTATCTCCTGGTTCATGAACACAGTTTTGCTTATTTGTTTGATTTTAATGTAACATAGAGACAAATCTCTTCACTTATTGTACCAGGATTTTTTATTTCTGTGAAAGTCTCTCGTTGGGAAAGTTGGATATATCAAAAGTTCCTCGTCTGGTGTTAGTTAACTTCATCACAGTCCTGTGAGAAAGGTGTTATTGTGAGACGACATCCTTTCAGATAAGGAACATGAGACTCAGTAAAGGTGAGTGCCCTCCTCAGAATCACTCTGCTAACAAGTCCCATAAGTCTTAGGATTCCAAAGTCTTTATTCTTTTTTTTCTAACAAACAAGCAGTCCCCTGGACCCTTCAGGCTTACAAATGGCGGGAATTGGACAATACAAGCTATTTTCAGAAATTACAAATGCCACCTGACTACATAGCCTCTTCTCAGGCTTCAGAGACCTACTCAGATGTTGATGGCTTTGCTTTGGGCTGACATTCTATCGGGTCAGTGTGGTAATGCTGTTACGCTAATTACATTTTCATTGAGCAATGGAAATGAAGACACTACTTGATACTTAATAAAATCTGCCTTAAAGGCAAATTCATTTAACCCATGTGCCCATATAAGCAAAGAAAGAGATGGAAGGAATTCTTGCCAGGAAAAAGGTAAGAAACCACTCTCCCCTCACCGGCTGCATGCCTATGGGACAGTATATGTGCGTAGGGGTTACAGGGCCCCCAAGGTGCCTCTTGATATACACAGTTCTTCTCTTGGTGAACTCTGTGACCAGATGGTGTCTTGTGGGTCAAACAGGTGCCAAATGATAGGAAACCTAAGGAAATCCTTCTTCAGATGGGGAATCTGTCATGGGTGTGTCCCCAATACCTATAGAAGCCAGCTAATGTGACAGGAAGCATTCTTGTGCCCTGTGAATTTCATCTCAGCCTTAAGATGCTCTGAGGGGTCAGGGAGCCCTGCATCAGTTGTGCATCTGGAGGGGACCCTGTGTTTTCTTATCCTTAATGCTTCACTGGGAACTGTTCCCGGAGGCCATCTGAGTCTCCATCCCATGTGACGTCTTGTATGTGTCCTTGCATTGGGGTTAATGTGCATTTTCATTGCACTTTGGTGCCCATCTCCTTGCCCTCAGAGGCTCTACGGGTGTTGGTGCCGGAGAACCCATATGCCCTGGGAAATGAGCAACCAGAGTGAACGAAACTTCTGTCCTGCTCCACACCAACTCGTTCCTCTCCTCTCCACAGTTCCAAGGTCAAGGTTCCCTTGGGAGCAGTTAGGGAACTGAAGGTCACAAAAAGCTGGCAGTTCACGGTGCCTTGGAGGGTTTCCCAGAAAGCAAAATGAAAATGAGATTGTTTCCACATAAGAACTCTGTATTTGGAGGACAGGATTCAGTCTGCATTTGCAGTTTCACCGTGCACTTGGGTAACCCCCACAAAGTCTAGTTGTTT